AGTTCATGTATTATACAAAACCAGGAGGAGTGACTGTTAGATCAGAGGGATTGAGAGGGACCTTGGTGGGCTGGAGAATTGGGCAGAGGGGAATCTCATGGAGCTCAACAATGAGAGATGCGAAGTCTTACACTGGGATAAGAATGATTCCAGCCATCGGTACATTCTGGGGACTGGAGTATAGCTTAGCAATGAAGGGCCTTGGGGTCATTGGGAACAAGAAGCTTGTCATCTAACAGCAATATGCCCTTACAATGAAGAAGGCCAACAGCATCCTGGGATGGATGCACAAGGAAGAACACTGCTAGCATGCGAAAGAAAGTGATCCTTCCTCTGCATTCAGCACATCTGGAATGCTGAATCCAGTTTTGAGCCCACAGAACAAGAAAGACATGGACATACTGGAGTGAGTCCAGGGCAAGACAACAAAGATTATTAAAGGACTGACGTACTTTTGTTTTAAGGAGAGGCCCACTATATCTATACAAAATGTTGGCAAGGCTTTACCTTCCTGGTATTGCTCACTCTATAATTCATAATCATATAATTTCAAGTATCTTCACCCTGTATTTGCAAACCTTCCTCTTTATACTAGGCTTGTCATATTACTTACTTACTTACTACTGTTCTGCTCTGGCAGTCTAACCTTCCACTCTGCTCATCTTTGTGCAGCTACTTGCTTTCCTTAGGTAGGGAACCATGTTTCTTCTCTGCTTACTCAGATTCTGTTTGAATAACATGCACAGCTGTGATGATTAGATACAGCTGTCAGAGCAACAAAAAAGCAGCATAGTTTTTATTAGTTTTTATGTGTTTATTAGTTGTAGGTATGTTCCTTATTTTACTGACTACTGTCTGTTCCTTGGAAAGCAGCTATGACTCTTATCTTGGGATGTTTGTGTTTAACAGTGTGGACACTACCAGCAGTGTCTCTTTGTGCCCTCATCTAATTAAATTCTCATGGCAGCAAATCAGCTTGATAAACTGAAAGCAGTGTGTCTTGCCGTGGCACTGGAGGTCTTGTAGCAGGGGACGTTTGTCAATATAAATGTGAAGTAAGGGTGGGCTACTTCAAATCCTCTTGCCTTGCAGGTGGCTTGATGCACTCTCATGATAAAACTTCCTTTCTTCTGGGGATGAGAACTACATATATTTAAAGACTGGTTTCTCTTTCACATTGTAGAAATAAATATGTCTCCAGTTTGATTGAATAGGAGAATTGCTCTGTGGTCATCCTAGGTAGTCAGAGTGGGCAGATGGCTTATTTAAGCTGCTACTATCAATATGAGTTATAGACCCTGGCTTGGCTTTAAATCCAGCCCCATCAAAACAAGGTGAACAGCTGCAGCATGACTCTGTAGTGCAGATGGGCTTGAGCTGAATGGCAGTGACGTGTACAAATGTTTTCTTTGTGGGCTTTAGTCTTCATAAACCCATTTAGTAGAACTGTTAATTGTAGCTAGCTTTAAGTGCCCAAGTCAGTGTATGTGCAGTGACCTTTAAAAATCTGCTTTGAGGGAGCTTCCAGATTGATGTGATGTACAGGGTAGTTGCTGTGGAGCAGACTGATGCTGGTACCTTTATGTGCCTCTCAAAACAGTTCTTTTTGGGTTTTGTACCTTGCAAAGGAGTGGCAATCTGACCCCAAGTAGGCACCATCTTTCTGATACAGGAGTCTAGGTTCTCATAAGTGAAAAGCTGGGAGGTTTTTCTAACTTCTGTCTATAGCTTGAAAGTCGCTAGTCATCAGCAGTTTGAGGGAACCTCTTAACTGGTTTCAGGGGAACTGGACCAAGTCCTAGTCATTGTGTGCTCTCACCAACTGCGGGCTCTTGTGCAGGGCACTTCTAGCTAGAAAGATTTCCTGTCCAGATGTCAGCTGTGCAATGCCTTTCTCATTTGCATACTTACAGAGTATTGTATGGGCTTGCATTTATTTTTTTTTTTTCTCTAGAAACATCTGTTCTACTAATTATTTATTTTCTTAAATAAAAAACATTGTGAAAGAGTCAGAGAAATCCCAGTATTGTGGGATTGCAATGCCTTTCTGTTGCAATACCTTTCTTAATGTAGGAAGTGCTGAATTGCAAACCCATATTTTCATAAATGCTCAAAAACATATTTTTAAACTACTTGTAAACAAAATCTCAGTACATATAGAAACTAGAATTAAATTTTATCATCTTTCAAAGAATGGAAAGAAACAGAACAATCCTGACACTCCTTTGTAGTCTATTTGCCTTTTCATAATTCCAAAAGGGTTTATTCACCTAATATTTCTGTAATACACTCTTCTCCCTAGTGTGACACATCAACAAACCATGATGGATGAATAACAAAGGGTGTGCTACTCTTGTGCTTTGTACTACTCTCTAAGGAGTAACACCTGCCTTTAGAAAAGGAGATATCTTGACTTCTTATACAGGGTAAGAAAGCAGGAAAGTAATAATAGCTTTGTCAGTGCAAGAACACTTCATAGTGCATCTGAATGATAGATGACATACAAATTTTTGAATTCATCATCAAAATAGATCTAATTGCTCACTGTATTTTCCCTTCCATCTAAAGCAATAACATTCAGTTACTCATTCCAATAGAACACAGAAAATAATTTTCTTGGGCTATTTGAAAAATTGCAATTCTGTTTATATATCAAATTCCTTAATCCCTATTCTGCAATTTTTAGACAAGCAAGTAACCGGATTTGCTTTTCATTTTAAATCACAATGTCCTACTTGTGTTTGTGCCATCAGAAATCCCCCAGAGGGCTGAGAGGCAGTGGTAAAGCAAAAGAGGAAATAACTAGACAGTCATGCAACATCCACTAGTCATAGTTAAAGGGAAGCAGTGCAATATTCCTTTATTTACGTATAAGGAAAGAGGAGTGATGAAAATGAATGTGGGAGTATCTTTTTAGAAGAACTTGGGGAAACAAAGTCAGCAAGTTTCTGCTAGAGTGTGGCATACACTTCATGTTGGCATTTCATTTTTATCACCTGTCGTAAGTTATGGGCCCACTTACTGCTATTGTTTTTAATTCTTTAGCTTTTCCATGGCAGCTGGAGATTATTTAAAATAAATAACCTTGCTGTTTTTCTATGAGAGATGAAATTCAGGAAGGTCTAGCCTCCTACCATACCAGATTCTGAGTTTTCAAAGGAAAAACTAGGCACATCTTTTATTTGACTAAATGAGGTGAAGGGACCTATCTGTCATACTACAAGAATTTACTTGTACTTTTTTTCTCTAGCAAATGATATTGATGGGGGGAAAAGTGTAACTGAGCATGTGGTTTATCTCACCTGTTAAATTCACATATACAACTGTCTTTCAGAGTTAAATTTTTCTCATAATTTGGGCTCCTTGTGAAATATGCCTGAACCCTTTTTTGGGACTGTAACATAAGCCTGGATGGCATTACCTCTAATATTTCATGAAATGTACACACAGACTTATGGGCAACATGTAAGCAGAATTAAGCAGGTACATCTTGCAGCAACTACACCAGCTTGAGGGCTGCCAGCATAATTTTCTCCTTTCTTACATAAATATTTCTGCTTCCTCTCTGCTATGCCAATAAATTACATCTGTGGCCAGCAGGTCAAAGGAGGTGATTGTCCCTCGCCCTGCTCACGTTCCACCCCACCTGGACTACAGCACACAGTTCCCATGCCCTCAGCATGAGAAGGACATGGAACTGCTGGAGCAAGTCCAGAGGAGGCCGCAGTGTTGGTAAGAGGACTGGAGCACCTTCCCTACAAAGACAGACTGAGGAAGTTGGGTCTGTTCATCCTGGAGAAGAGGAGGTTGTGCAACCTCCCACTATCTGGAGGGTACTACTGGGAAACTGGAGAGGGAGTCAGTGTCAGGAACTGTAGTAACACGGCAAGGGGTAATGGGTACAAACTGAAACAGGGGAAATTTAGGTTAGACATTAGGAAGAAATTCTTTAGTCTTCTGGGGAGAGACTGGAAGAGGTTGCCTAGGGAGGTTGTGGATGTCCCAACCCTGGCAGTGTTGAAGGCCAGTTGGATAAGGCCTAAAATAAGCTGCTCTAGTGGAAGGTGTCCCTGCCCAAGGCAGCAGGGGTTTGGAATAGATGATCTTTTAGTCCATTCTAATCCCTTCACATTCTACAATTGAATGATTTCATCTGTGTTATAATACCCAGATACAAGAACATGATCAAAGTAACTGTCCAAAAAATTGTATCAGAAATTACTGCCCTTCTGATTAACATTTTGTCAATAGAACACATGCTTCTTGAATTTACACTGGTTTGATCTCATCAATGTGAAAAAATGTCTGAAGGCAGGGGTGTCAAGAGCAGGGAGCCAGGCTCTTCTCGGTGGCGCCAACCACTAGTACATGAGACAACTGTCAAAGACTGATGCACAGTAAATTCCACTTGAACATAAGAAAGAGCTTTACTGTGTGGGTGATTGAGTATTGGAACAGATTGTCCAGAGAGGGTGTGAAGTCTCCCTCACTGGAGATATTCAAGAACCATATAGAAACAATCCTCTGCCAAATGCTCTGGGATAACCCTGCTTAAGCAGGGAAGTTGAATAGATGAGCCAATGTTGATGTCCCTTCCAACATCTTGTGTTTCTGTGACTTAAGTTTCCCTATGTGAGAGTGAAGACACCCAATATCACGAAAGATGTTTGACACAACCCATGTTTTGGACGTTCGAATTTGTCTCCAAGTTGCCGATGGACCCGTGTCTTGTCCCAGCGGAGCGCCTGTGCTTTGGCAGGCTGGCAGAGGCGACTCCGGACCGGCTACAGCCTGAAGGATCGGATCCCGATGGAGCGGATCCTGATGGAGCGGAACCCGCCGGTGCCACCCGGCTCTCCGGGCACTGGGGCCGCCCTCCGCCCTGCCCGCCCACTCGCTGCTTTCTGGGCACTGATTGGCTCGCATTCCGGAGGCCCCGCCACGGCCGCTCGCTCATTGGGCGGAGCCGGCGGTGCTCGCCGCTCATTGGCGCAGGCGGGGCGGCCCCGCCCTTTCCGCGCTGCTGCCCGGCGTAGGCGCGGTGCGGAGCCGCAGCTGCTTGCCCGCCTTCACCCATGGCCGACATGGAGCTCTTCGGTGACCAGACCGGGAACGGGATGCCCGACGGTGGCGAGGAGGATCCCGCCGCCGCTTTCCTGGCGCAGCAGGAGAACGAGATCGCGGGCATCGAGAACGACGAGGGCTACGGCATCCTGGAGAACGGCGAGGTGCCCGAGGCGTTGGAGGGTCCCGAGGGCCTCGGCGCGGGTACGCCCTGCGGGGGCCGCGGGTGGGGCGGGGGCTGAGGGGTCCCGGGTCCCCTCGTCCCTCGGGGCGGCGCGGCCGGGCGGGGGCGGCGCCGGCGGGACCCTCGCTGTGCCCGGAGCGGGGCTCGCTGCCCGGGGCTGGTCCGGGGGTGGGTCGGGGCCGTCCTGGGTGCGCTGCGCCGCAAGGTGCGCTACCTCCCTGCTCCCCGCCTAAGGCGTGCCTGTGTCCTAATGCGAACGGTGCTGATCTCGTTTAATCCAGGAGCCTGTCTGAAGGAAGGCTTCTGAAAGCTGAATAAATCCGCCACTTGAATTTCTGTCTTCAGCGGGGGTGATCTTAGTCTTGGAGCATAAGAGGAGTTAAGCTAATGTTTAATTTTACTAAACCTTTAGCCTTTGTTCCTTGGTAACCTTTGTACTGAATGTAGCAAGCCCGACACTGCAGAACCCGCGTTTGGAGAAGGGTGGGAACTGAGTGTTGAGAAGTATGGATTATAGTCTAATGGTGGCTAAAGCAGCCCAGAATAAACACTTCTCCTTTTGAAAGGTTTTAACCGAAGCCCGAGTGGAAAGGGGTTGATGTTGCAACACTCTCAGAAGACTTTGCTTCTACTTATCACCAGGGCCAAATATATGCTGGAGACATACTTGCTCTCATGTGACTTCCCTTTGTCACTGCAGTAGGATGCCACTCTCCTTCAGACTGAGTTGAATAACTGCTCCCCAGTTCATTGTCGGAACATCTTTAGAATTAAGTCTTCATTTTGCAACCCGATATCAGAAATTACTGACGTATCTTATGTATGAGGAGGAGGGTTTGTAGTATCTCAGTCCATAAAGCTCATCTAGATAAACTGGGTAATGGAGACCTTTCAGTGCTTATTTGAAGGTAGCGCTGCTCTTAGCATCAGCTCACTCATAAGTTCCAAAACATATGGATTACATACTGCTGAAAAAAAGGTGTTTACTGGGGACTGTTCCAGTACAAGAGCTTGAGGATAATTGTTATCAGAACACCATCCTGTTTTGGTACCATATATAATTTGACTTCCGTATTCTATTTATAGTGCAGAAACAGACACAGTGGTCACTTCCCTTCTTACTTTCAGAAGTCTAAGACAAACCTCATATCTTACATGGGCTTTATGTTCCAAACAGACTCTGGAACATTAAAGTGGCTGTTTGAAAACTAATTTAGTTGAAAAAAAAATCTATCATTGACCTTGCCCACAATATACTAGAACAACTAGAAGAGTATGTTCTCTACATACATGTAATGATGGCTATTGCAAAGTGTTTCCTTTTCAAAAAGTTGATTTGTTTAATGCTTCTAGATTAGTTTCGTATTTAGAAGTAGTTATTAAACTGCCTTTTAACCACTTTTTCTGAAGTCATGTAAGTTGACTTGTCATGAAGTCCAAAAGGGTTATTGGAGAACTTTAGGAATAAGTTAATAAAATAATAAATATGATAATATGATCCAAGGGTCTGGGAACCCTAGGCAGGAACTGTGTGTTGTCTTGCTTCTTTTTATGCCTTGGGATTGCATTTATGCTCTGGCCTGTTAAATAGGCATGGTAGACGATGCTTGTGGACTTGTGGTGGCCCTGTTTTTTAACAGAACATTGATCTTTGTTGACTGTCAGAGCCTGTACTTGCTTGCTCCATGTTAAAAAGAACAGACTTCAGCCATGCAAAATGTACTGGTTCAGGCATGGTGACAAATGATCTAATGACTTCTGTTGCCATTTGTATTAGACATTTCTTCTCATCTGATCAGTACCTTAATAAATATCAGACAGTTGTAGTCTCTGGCATATTAGCTCATTAAACTCTTCTGTAATTGAATAGATGAATGCAAATTTCTTCTTGAAACAATGCAAGTTCTTATGTAAATCCTTAAGCATAATGACCAGGGATTTGTGGATTTACTTTTTTTAACTGTAACCTTTCTTGAACTCCTTATTTACAGGTCTCTTGGATAAGTTCTTTATAAACAGTGGGCCAAAACGAATAACTTGGGCAGCTCTCAACTGAAGTTTGAAGATCTTAACTTCAGATACAGTCACAAGCAGTCATCAGCTTCTTGAAATACACTTTTTAAGAATCATAGTTTCTCATCAACAAACAGTCTTTCAGTTTCAGTCTCTTTAAATAGTTAGATAAATACATGGACAGAAGGGAGCTTCATGAATTGTAAATATCATTATTGGGAATTCTGATAATTGTTGTAGTGGTGGATACTGGGTGAGTATGGTGGGAGTAGCGGAATGCTGCCAGGCTTGTGCGTCTCACATAGCATTATTTCAAGTTGCCATGATCAGGGTTGGAATACTGATCCAGGCCTGATCCAGTAGGCTATTCATTATGTAAATAGCTATGCCATTCAAGCTGCCTGACCATGCAAAAACCTAATCTTATTTCCCTAGGAAGGTGAAGCATAATCCCTGCTCCAGAAAGCAGAGAGTACTGTATAAATCAAGTAATACAATGCAGTTGCTTAGGTATGGGTAACATGATATCTTATGACATTTATTTTTCAGTGATGAATCAATGTCCATGTATTTGCAGTGAGATTCTGACAATAGTATGTCTTGAGGTTGTATTGGTTCACTTCCTATGTTCTCTAAGCAAGAGAAAGAGAGTTCAAGGGGAAATGTGTGGTTTTTAGATCATGTATGCCAATACAAATCATCCTGGCAGTTTGCCAAGTAGCTTCTTATGGGGAATTTCATTCAAAGACAAGCAGTTATAGATGTTGAAAATCACGCAAATACACAATTTTAACGTAGGCTGACTAGTCTCAAACATTGCTTTTGCATTTTCACGCCTGTAAGTTTTATATGAACTTGACCAAAATATTTTTCTCTATCTTCGAAAGATGTTTGTGAGCCTCTAGCAATTAAGAAAATTAATTGTGTCTGGTGGTTTCTCTAGGTACTTCATTTAATAGCCTTTCAGGAGCTGAGTATCAATTTGCTTCAAAATTGTTTAGGAAAGAATTGATTCCTGTCTCTGTAGTTAGCACCACAAACAGCAAGAGTTCTTTTCTGACTATTGATTCTTTCTTAATTGTTTGAACAGCCATTGATCTGGGTTTTGCTGTGCAATCAGCGTCTGGGGCTTCAGAGCCCCATAAGACAGCACTGATAAAGGTATGAGAAAAGGAGTGGTATCTGTCTAGCTTGTGTTAGTAATGCTGCATTATTATGAAGTCAGGATAGAAAAATCTTTTTTTGTTTTGTTTTGTTTTCAAGAGAATACTAGTGGAAATGTACAGAAGGTGGAAATTACAGAAGCTGTTAGATTGGAAGATTATAAGAAGCTGTTATGGCACAGTGTTATTGCAGATGTGTTTTAATTCTAGCCTACTGATTATATTGAAAATGAGGGAACTCATGGCTTTTAATAGGACAGCGGATTAAACTATAACACTGGAAAGAAGCACTCTTCCTGAGCTGCTTGCCTTTGTTTTGCACACAGGCATGAGGATGAGTTATAGCTAGAAAAATTATTTCTTTTCCAGGTTCTTTCATAACGGCGTAAACAAAAGGTTTGTGAAAGATCCTTCTTTCTTATCATGTTATGGGTTAGAAGTAGGTAAAATTAAAGCATGACTGTGCCTAAAAGATAAAAGGATGGTAAACTAGGCCTTGAGTGGTGAAGTTACTTAACCTTATGTCAGAATATATTAAACTTTATGTTCTTCTATTCTTTAACAAGAGCTGCTAACCTATTGAAAGTAGCAGCACTTAGGGTACTTATTGTTTAAAAGAGATGCTGCGGGTAACTCCTAAAAAATACTTCTGTTTTAAAGGAGAGTAAGAAAAATGTTTCAGTATACTGCAAAGCCCTGCCTGTGACTTTAGGGTAACAGTCCACTTTTGCATTGAGAATAAGACTTTAGAGAGGCTGGTGAACAAGGCTAAGCTAGCTTCCTTTCAGGCCAAGTGATCCTGAGTGGTAATAATTATAGTAGCATCCTTCAGAATAGTTAATCATCATTGTGATAAATCTCTGAGGCCATATATTGACTTCTAGGATGTAAGTGACAAAATGCTTTTTGTATTTATCTTCAAACTCTCCAGTCTTTTCTTTTGTAAGCTGTGGTAAATGTGGAGGGCATTAATGCTAGCTTTCTATTTCTGACAAGCTTGGGTGTTGTATCTCCTGGGAGTGCAAGGCAGCTGATATGACTTATCCTCTCCATGCTCTTCCAGACTCTAAAAGGTATCTGTGTTGCTGTATGAATATTCATTATTACCATATGGTCAGCATGTGTTGCAGAACTGTAGATGTTTATATGTTTATATATGTTCATTGCAACAGTGCCCTTAAAAATAAAAGTTTATCTGAAGTTCAAAAGCAAACAACAAGGAGTATGGATCATTGGTAACTGAGATGGTTCTAAACATGTGGATTTTAACTTCAGGAGATACAATACTATGATAGAATTGGATGGACTCTGAAGCCAGTAGAGGAGTCTCGTTGTTCATGGCTGCTGAAAATGTTACGATGGCACTAGCAGTATTTAGGCTTTTTCTGTGGGAAGCTTATGAAATTGCATGTTTCTGTGAACAGAAAAATCTGATACACAACTAGCATTGGTTACTGATATGAAGGCTGGCAGACAGACAGTTTTTCTGTACTTTATACTTAATTATACAAGCATGAAGACCGGAGAGCTGAAATGAAGGAATGTTTGACTATTGGTCTTGTTGCAGTTAGCACACTTGTATTGGCATATGACAGTGTGCTGGTACATTTGTTTCCTCTTCTGCTTGTGATTAGCTCAGTCAGCATGCTGACTCTGCAGCTTAATTGCAAGTTCTGGGGAGCTCAGAACAGATGGGAAATTTGTTCTAATACTGCTAACGCTTCTAACCTGGATGCCCTCTGGAAACACTTAGTTCAGTTTCTGTTAGTGGCTGTTTCTGTGCAGAACAAAAATGGCCCTCAGACAAACCTATGTGTTTCATCTCAGGCACAGCCTTAAACAATGATGTTGTTCCTTTTACCTGCCAGCCTGAGTAGTGAAGACCGTAATGAATGTTTTTTGGTGTGACAAGAAAAACATATTTTCAATGTTCTTGGAAACATCCTCAAAATTTATGAGCCCTCTAGCCCAGCTGGTGACTGTAGTCTTTTTAAAGGCCTCCTGTACCTTCCAGAGGAGTAGGAGTCCAACAAAGCAGCAACCATCTCTCAGTTATGGGAGTCTAGTTATAAAATATATTTTCTCATAACTGAAAAGCTATTTTTTCTTAATTTGAGTCTTCCCCTGCAAAAGTTAGTAACTATGTTCTTGGGGACTAGTATTCTCCAACTTAACTGCCATTCTTGAACTGATGAATTTACAGTCCTCTACATAACACAGTTAATGATTGCTCCTCAGTTCACTGATAAAGGAGTATGAAGAACTTCCTGTGTGCCATTCACTTGAACTGTGAAACTGGTGCGAAACTAGCTGCAAACAAGAGGACACAGCAGCATAACTTGCTTAGTTTTAGGTCAGTCAGCTATCTGTTTTTAAGACAGTGGTGCAAAATAATGTGATTTTTCTGCTTACTTTTTGGTATAGTCACTTCTTTCACTGAGGGGTGTATTATGGTGGACACACTTTTGTGTGATAGATTTATCCATGGTGATATGAGTAGCATGAGTATTTGGTATGGCACGCTGACAGATGTTATGTAGCCCTTCTCCAGAGAGATGCCCTGCTGAGACTTCGGAGTTTCTGAAAATCTTGGTGTGTTTTGTATAGTCCATAGATTTAAATAGTTTCAAAAACTTAAAGGTTTGACTCACACCTGGTATTTGTTCCCCTCGGCTGTGTTGCCACTGTCACTAAAGAGATAATAATGCTGCAACTGAAGTAGGAGTTATCAAGCATGTCATCACAGATGGTAGCAGAAAGGTGACTTTGCTAGGAATGTTAGCCTTATCTCTGAGCTAATTAGGAGATAACAACAGTAAGATAAGAATTATCAATTGTTGGCTGCAGCATTGTTAATCTTCCAGGTAGACACTAAAAAACTGGTAGTCATCCTTCTTAACTTAAGAACAGTTGTATAGTAGTCAGCTTCTAAGAGAGGGAGGATGAGGACAAAGTGGGAGTAGCTTTAGAACACAGTCTGTAGCAGATTCTCAGCAGTATCAGCTCTGCTTTTTGTGTTGTTAAAAGCAGGATCTCATGATGAAGAAATGACCTTGTATTTCTGGTTCTGCAGAACAGTGGCTCACTTGGTTTTTCATGCCTGTCCAGAAAAGTGCAGGGAGAAGGAAGTGTCCCTGCAGGGTATCAAGTAACATTCCCTTTCACAACTCCCACATTACCTACTTTAGTAAAGCTTTCCATACAAGTTACAGAAATCAGTAAATCTGGCTGTTCTATCTTTCTCAAATGACTAAACAAGTCACCTCTTTACAGATGCCGTTGGTGGAGTGGTTAACGGGGATGTCTATCAGGTAAGATAGAAGTATTCTATACTTAGAATGTGCTGTTCTACTCTGAGAACTTTACCTTAATGTAGACTAATACTTCCTATTTCTTGTCTTTAAAGTAAATTTGTCTCATATCTGAGGAGGGTTTTCTGTACTGGTAGCTCATCTCATGGAGTTGTCAGTCTTCTTAATTATGCCCATCCTCTGAACTTAGAGGCCATATAAAGCAGCAGTTCATTTTGAAATGTGGCTTAACAGTACATAAGCACTGTAAAGCAGACTGTTAGGCTCTGCGATATGACTTTACATGGACTTGCACTGGCTGCTAAGCTGAAAGTGTGCTCTGATTACCTAGTTTAAAGTAGAGTTTTCAGATTTGCTTGCTCTTTAAAGATAATTCATGCATCCTGGTTGTCTTATCAAAATAGTCTTACAAGGAACAGACTGAAAACATACATTTCTTGATGACATGAAGATGCATGAAATTAAGCTTCTGGCTAAAAAGCTCAACCACATTATGAAAGCATGTTAGACAGCCATGATGACAAAAGAAGGAGATACCTGCTTTATTGGTGTCAGGGAGGAAGGAGGCATGCTAAGGCTATCACTTTGTTGTAACTGAATTTCACGGCATGGTCATTGCCTGGTGTCACAGTTGACTCGTTAGCCTGGTTGAATGAATGCTTGGGAAAGAAGCAGTGTGAGCAATGTACTTCTCCTTAGAGTTTTAAGTGAATGCTGAGCTTTGTGGAGACACAAACAGCTTTCACTGCTGCTGACATTCTTATATCCTCAGCATTGCTGTGAGATTGATGGGACAACCTGTATTTCACAGGCCCTTTGCTCTTCCTTGTACAAGAGAAGGCAGATTTCCCTTTTTAGGTACCTTGATTTTGTGTTTGAAATTCTAAGAGATCAGTTGTTTTGGCTGACAGAGCTTCCTCTTAATCAGAAAGAAGAGACTGAATGGGCTATACATAACATAGGTTTTAGCTACCTGTAACAAGCTAGCCCTGCAGCTGCCCAGTTTATTTTGCTTTGGATGGAATGTGAAGCCTGGTGGTGTTGCCCCAGCCTAGAGTCTTCTCTTTGCAATATTCCGTCATTGAGGGCTACAGGGAGTCCAGAGAGGTGCAAGCCAAATCTATGGTCAGCTGCAGTCAACCTAGTACTCTTACGAGTGGTATTCCTTAACTCTGCTAGGGATAGGATGAAGCAATAAAAGTTGTTAAACTTAGAGTATCTTCTGTAGCAAATACCACAATATTCATTAGCTTTGTAAATCTGATGTATTAATGTTAGCCCTACTCATTTTGAGTCTTTGAGATGTTACATTGTGAAAAGGATGTTAGTACTCTCACTGTTCTGATGATTAAATATTAAAATGCCTCTTGGGTTATAAGCTGCATACAGCAATACAAATTCTGTAATGTGATATGCAAATGTCTCTTGAAGTAGACAAATAAGCTGCAAAGAATGTTTTGTACTCCTGTGCACAAAACCATGAAAAAAATTATTTCGCAAAAAATATTTAAGGTGAGATGAACTCAGAGAGTATATGGCCTACTACTGTGTAGTGAGGTGCTAGGCATTGTCTTCTGCGTTCTGCAGGCTTATTGGTCTGGTACTAAGTGTCTGTGGCACTTGTATTTCCAGTTGTGTTGACTTTTTGTTTGATCTCTGATTTCTGGAGGAAGCCCTTTGATTGTGCTGTAATTTGTAGCAAGATGTTTTTAATGGTGGAAATGTGTTATAACATCAAATGAATGTGTTATTGGCTCAGTTCAAGTAGAGTATAATTTTATATAGCTGGCAGGCAGTTATCTGAAATCACTTGTTCTACACAAATGACTTTGCTATTCCTTTCCTCCAAGGAGAGTAATGGTCCCACAGACTGCTATGCTGCCATCTCCCAAGTAGATCGACTGCAGTCAGAACCAGAAAGTATTCGTAAGTGGAGAGAGGAGCAAAAGGAGCGTCTGGAGCAACTTGGTAAGCATGGTATTTGTTGAGTAACCTAATGTCAGCTCCTCTCGGGCTGAGAGAGGCAGGGGTGTTCTACCTGGAGAAGAGAAGGCTCTGGGGTCACCTGAGAGCAGCCCTCCAGTACCTACAGAAGAAGTGGAGGGGGAATTTTTACAAGAGACCATTGTGTAGTTTACAAGGAGGAATGGCTTTAAACAGAAAGAGGGTAGATTTGGATTACTCATTAGGAAAAAATTCTTTGTGGTGAGGGTTGTGAGACACTGGCACAGGCTGCCCAGAGAAGCTGTGAATGCCCCATCCTAGGCTGAATGGGGATTTTGAGCAGTGTGGTCTAATGAAAGGTGTCTCTGCCCACAGCAGAGGAGGTGGAACTAGATGATCTTAAAGGCCTCTTCCAACTCAAGCCATTCTATGATTCTTAAGCAATAGAATTCTGAACCATGGCAGTGCTTCTTCAGAGTCTTAACATGCTTCCTGGATGAGTTCTGGTAAGCAGACTTAAGACTGGTGTGGGAGTCAGCAAGCAAGTGGCTCTCTGAACCTTTACTTAGAGATGAGCTGACAGAAAATGAAAAGCTTTTTTAAGCTTTGATGATAATAAATACTATGGGCATTAGTAGTTTATTTCAAAGGATAAAGATTAATAATTTTGTAATTGCTGAGGTCATCGTTGTCACATGGATCTTAATCTAATAACTAAATTAAGAAAATAATGGATTATTAATTAAACTAAATACAGCTATCAAATGCAGTGGTACCTACCCATGGACAACGTCTAAGAGACTACAGACTGGTGTGCTTCCCACTTAAATGGTGGAGGAGCCTTTGCTTGAAATTGTTAGGACAGAACTTTCTGTAAAATGTAATTCTGGATAAAGCTGACAGTTTCACTCCTCTTTGGTATTAGTTACAGCAGGTGAGGTTGCCCTGAACTGTAGGCTGTGTGTAAAAGTATGTGGAATGCCAGGTTCCTTCACTTTGTCTAAGCATAGAGGCTTTACTAAGCTTTGTTCTAGCACTGGCATAGCAAGGTGACTGTTCCTGGTTTGAGCAGTTTGCAGACCAACAGATTGACTGAATCTGAGCTACTCTGCAAAGTGCCTATCCTAAACTGAAGTGGACTGTCCCAGTTATGCAGCACAGGAGTTCTGTTCAGCTAATCCTTTCAATGTTTGTAGTATTTAGATTTCTCCTAGGACTAAATCAGGAAATCTCCTAACCCTTACCTGAGTTGGTGAAGCAACTGTCTGCATTAGAGTGCACCCTGAGCCATAAATCGAAATGTTTGCAAGATGCATTTGAATACAAATGTGACTGACAAAGCAATTCTTAAATCTTCAGATGCAAACTCACGAAAGCAGGAAGCAGAATGGAAAGAGAAAGCAATAAAAGAGTTGGAAGAGTGGTATGCAAGGCAAGATGAAAAGCTTGAGAAAACAAAAGCCAGTAACAGGTAAGTTTTTCCAGTCATCTGGAGAGTTATGGTTCTAGTTATGAAAATAATTAGGAAGGGATGGGAGAATACTTCTTCTATGTCCTAAGGCAATAGTCCTTCAGATCATTAAAGTAAACAGACCTACGACCTACCTTTTAAGTTTTCTTAGATAATCTAGATTAAATATCCAGGAAGCATTAAGATGATGATCAAGTATTACTGAAGATTCCTTCAGACATGAAGCTTGAACATGGCCAGAAAATATTTTACTCTGCCCACTTGTCATGCTCCCAGCTGTACAGGCCTTCAATGTCTGTAGTTACCTACCCTGAGACTAGCAATCTTACTTGCTTACTTTAGAACATATGGAAGTGGCAATCTAGTTAATCTTTGCTACAGGTAATTTCATTAAATATCTTAAAATCTTTTGCTGCTCTTTTTGGAAGCAGTTCAGAAATTACATTACTCAGTTCTACTAGTGAAAAACTGAATGCTGATTGTATCTGTAGTGGTTTGAATTGTCTAATTATGGGTCCTGTGGTAGAAAGGGATGACTTGATTGCTGGAATAGTAAGCTCTTACACTTTCTTAGAAGTTCCCTGTGGAATTTTGACATGACGGTACATGTACATGTACATGACGGTAAAAGTGATAGAACTGACTTAATGCCTCTTAAATCTCTACTTCATTCTATGCAGGTAATCATCAAGATTGCTTTATATTTTGGGAACTCAGAGGGTTCAAAACTGCTCTTCAGAACTGCTGTTTTGTTCATTTTGTTGTATTTTGTTAGTTTATTTCTTTGAAATACTGCTTTTCTTATCAAAATAGGCATCAGATTTGTCTTCATTAAATGAAGTCCTAGGTAGTCTACTCTCCTTTCTAAAGGAAGAAAGGAGGCCTACACTGCCTTCAGAATTATGGATTTGCCACTTCCATAACATTCACTGAGGAATTCACTACCTTTTCGTTGAGTGAAGAAAGGGAAACAGGATTAATACTGTCCCAGTTGGTGGCCAGAGTTCATGATACCCTCATGGCTTTATTATGGCCAGTGTTTGAGTGCAAGATACAGAGTCTGGAGCAGGGCACATTAAACCAGGTGTTGCACAGAACTGTTTGGCATTCTCATCACTCTGGTGAGATCTCTTGCCTGCTGGTAGTTTCTGTCCTCTGGGAGTAGTCTTAATGCTAACATTGGGGCTCTAGTCCTCAACTAGCTGATCTAAACTTCTAGGATGTGGAAGAATTTCTGTGTTGCCCCTCTGACCAATGGCTTAATTGGTCCATTCCATGTGGTAACTGCTTTCCTGTTACAGTAAGTCTAGGTGATGCAAGGTTGATATGCTTGTTAAAACTGCCTCCAGCTGTGTTCCGTACTTCTCATCCTTATCTCTTTTCTCCTGCCTGCTTGCCTGCCTGTTGGACTACTTGCTACCTAGGGTGGCAGATGAAGCTTTCTACAAACAACCCTTCGCTGACGTGATTGGTTATGTGTATGTTGCTTAACTACTAATTCTGCTTGCTAGTCAACACTATAATAAGCAGGATCAAAAACAGTGCTGAGTGTCTGAAGGTGCCTTCTGAATATTTACTTTTTGGACCATTTCTGGTCTGCAGTATTAAGTGCAGTTCTCCTGTATGCAGTGCACAAATCCTAGCACTTTCAGATTAAGTCTTGTAGTGTACATAGCCCTGGAATTATGGTAATGACTGCAGTATACTTTAGACCTAAGGGTTTACAGTTGTTTCCAGGCCAGTGAACATTGCTTAGCAAGATGCTTTGCTGGGGATGTGGGTTAGTGCCTGCAGTTTCACATGGGTGCTGTATTTAGTCCTTCCACAGAGAAGCAGTGTTTAATTCTGTAATAGGCAGTGACCACCTGCTTTGCCTACATATCAGAAAAATATTCAAGCAATGCTTGCACATAAAGGTTCAGAAGGAAGCCAAGGAAGGTAGAGGGGAATTGCCTGACATGAATCAGGGCAGAAAATGTGCATGCATGTAGAAATAGGAGGCTATTAGAGAACAGATAGATAGTACAAGAAGGTGGCATTGAGAAATCAGTGTAAACTGCTGGGAAGACATTTAGGAATAGTGTAGATGTTTTGCCAGCCTAATAGGTCAGTGAAAATAGAGCTGTGACTTTCAAGCCCCAGTGAATATGCTAGTTTCTGAGGGGTAGAAGGATTGCAATGTTCATTGGCTTGTTCATGTATTTTAATTTCTTCCCTTAATTTGTAGACTTGAATTGAAAGATGGACATGTCACAGATTCTAAGGTGACACCTTTAGAAGGTGTATTGGTGAGCCGTGTTCTGGCTTTGAGTGCATTAATATTGAAGATTTGGTGTGAAATTCACAGCTAACTGTAGGTGGATGTAAACCAAGACTTGTGAAATGATGGATTTACAGGTGGTGTTTAACTTTTTTGAAATTTCCTGGAGTTGATTTTGTTGGATTTTTACAATAAAACCATTATTGTTATATGTCCAGTGCAAATGTGCAGTGTGAGTGCTGCATAATAAAACTGGCTGCCTGTTTCCTGAATGTAGGCTAAGCTACTAGTGCATGTTCAGCCAGCTAATCATCTGCATTAAACTCATTCTCATTTTCTATATCTGACTTAAACTTTCTCTCCTTGTTTCTTTTCTTCTCTTCACCTTTAAGCACAAACATAAATCATCCTTGCTACAGCCTAGAACAGTTAAGTAAAAAAATCTTCACTGCCCTTTAAAAGTGTCATGTCACATAAAGTAGCAGTGTTGTAGTGATCCTTGTCTTCAGTGGTGTCTGTAACCTTATCATCCTTGTGAATAGTGCTGAACCCTCATGGGAGAGTCATTTTCACTGCTTTCTCTGTACTGCTTGTTGGAGTAGATGGATTTGGTTTGATCTCTGGATGCTTACTGCTTCTGCACTCAGGCAGCTACCAGGGCCCCGCATCATGTAAACTAGATGCTGGAGTGCTATCCCTGCATTGAAGCAATGCTATTGGCAGCATAGAAAAGCCAAAATAATACAGCTGGGAAGCCACTGGCATTATCCAGTACATAATGTACAAAGCCTTAGAGTCTCCCTAGGGTGAGAGCAGGGGAAATCCGTTTGTTCTGTGAGGTGACCTCAAACAAGTCATCTCCTCTGCCAAGATACGCTGTAGTTTATTGCATTCACAAGCATGGGATTCCTGACTTAAATTCCTTATGATTCATGCTGCTTCACTACAGCATTGGGAATCATCAGCAGATAGTTTTATGATGGCCTGTAGGCCTTGGGGCTGATTTAAATCCTCAAACAGAATTTGTTTAAGACATGCTTGCAGGCAGTTGTAAATTTCCAGCTGGCAAATGTCCAGTATAAGCCATCAAGCAGCAGAGGCTTAACTATTCAAGACCTGGGCATTTCTCCATAAATAAAATGCCTACAAAAGAAGTACCTTACTTCCTGGAACCTTGTGTGGTGACTCCTTAGGTAAAGACTCAATAAGTATTCTTAAAACCAAACACCTGTATTCCAACATTTTACACAATACTCTGCGATCCTCTGCACTGCTTGTGCATAGCATACTACTGCAGTCTACTTCATCTCCAGGACTGGGGCAGTGGGAGCTTACGTGGCCATAATGTCCACAAGCAGCTGTCAGGTCACATTTCTTATGAAACATGCCGAAAGAAACTGCATCCTCTAAGAGGGAAGGAGTGCCTTACATGCTGGGCATTAACACAAGGTGCATTGCATTGCTTTTAGGGCAGCTGAAGAAGCCTTTGTGAATGATGCAGAAGATTTTCCTGGCACTGAGTGGGAACGTGTGGCTCAGCTCTGTGACTTTAATCCCAAGTCTAGTAAGCAGGCAAAAGATGTGTCCCGCATGCGTTCAGTCCTCATCTCACTCAAGCAGGCTCCACTGGTTCGCTGAAGCAAAGCTCGATGGAGACACTACAAAGGCAATATCTTAACCTTACCCAGAGAAGCTATGTTTGCAGTAATTTGATTAATTGTTTCAATGTGTATTTTTGGACCACATCATGATGTATCTAGAGCTGATCATCGTTTGATTGCATGTTCTTCCTGATGTTTCCTTTCTGTGTCTGAAATGGGAGAACCTCCAAAACTGTAGTCTCTGTGCTGTTGTGCACTGAGGTGTCACTTCCTACATTACTGATATTAAAGATCTCTTGAACAGCAAAATGTGTTGACTTTGGATGAATTGAGAAGGTCTCCTGCTTCTTTTTGACAGAGTGTGTTTGAATTAAGTGTGAGTAAACATTTCTCTTGATTGCTGGTGATTTCACCTTGCTGGTGAATGTCCAGCCAGCAGTGCAAGGCTGTCCTCCTTGTTTCTTTAACCTTTCTTAAAGCTCTTGAGAGCTTTAGTTTAAAAATTTCTCCACTATCCAATTTGTCACACTAGACAGCAGCTCAAGAAAACTTAAACAGCAGGCATGTTAAGGGGCTTATCTTGCTTCCAGTGGGACTGAGGACACTGCCTTCTGCAGGTAAGTAGTTGTGTATAATTTTCTGCTGTCACTCTGGCTGTCTGAGGCTCAACACAAAGGAGAGGGCACTGCAGTTAAGGCCTTTGGTATTCTGCTGCTTATTGTGTTCCACGAGGTTTTCAATGCAGTCTTCATATGCAAAGATCTGTGGTGCAGAGGCTGTTTGATGTTTTTGAACTGCGTGCTTGTCCTCACTGACCTTTGCAGACACTTCTCCCACTAGGGTGGTGAACTGGAGACTTGGAGAGTAAGAGGAGGGAAGGCTTCCTCTTACTGCTGCTCATCTCTAGGTTGGAGCTCTGTCTGCCGAGGTGGTTGAATCAGAAACAAAGCGATCTAGAAAATCTGTGTTCTGCTTCCTTTGCTCACCGAGCAGTCACAGGGGCTGTATTCTAGCCTTGCTCTGTTAAACCTTACCTTAGCTGTATGTCTTCTAAAACTAATCTGTTCTATCTCCTATGTTATTCCACCATGTTTATCAAAGACACAGTATTTTAACTACTGTGTAGTGTAATTGCTTTAATACCTTTTATGTACAAGCTGGAAGGTTAGTCCAGGTAGTTTGAAAAGAGTTGCAGATAGAGCCTATGATGGACCAAAGCTCAAAATGTTACTGCACAGCAGCTGTGTCCCTTTGGTGGGTAAGGTAGTCAATAAATAGTTTCCAGTTGGGCTGCAGTAGTTAAGCTGTACCTTACTGTTGTCTGTAATGGCTGGACCTGCTCTCATGTTTGCAAGTGTATTCACACACTACTGATGGGTGGTGATGAGAATGATTGTAGACTACAAGTCAGAAAGCTTGATTCCATGGAAGATTAGGGCAAGAAAGTATCTTCTGAACTGCACAAGGGCATGGCAGGTGAGTCCCAACAGGACTGAAGCACAGAGCTTTCCATAGTCCATAGAATAGTGATAATCATTCCTAGCCTTGCCTAGTTACATATTCACCTTGACCAAAAATTTCCTTTTTGCTGCACACTCAAAAGCTCTGAAAACAAAGATGTTCAAAATGACCTGATAATAAGAAAAGTCCACTACATTAAATACAGAGTCTTTAAAGTGTTAATATGAATTTAAGAGAATTTGCAAGATCAACAGGTTAGAGGGGTTCCTGCACACTGAATGAATGATGGTATGTATTGACCAGTACATTTTCCTATCTTACAGAATATTTTATCTGGCTATGAGTGTGGCTTAGAGCTGAAATCCAAGAAAATGGGCAAAGACTCGAATTCAAGCCCAAAGCAGTATTCTATATGCTGGGTTTGCAGAGCTTAAGAAAGTGTTTGCAGATTTTTGACATATTTCATCCTCCTGGAACACTTCAAATGCAGCTCTGTGGGTTCTGATTACTTCCACTAACTCTGGTGCAAAGATTACCTCTTCTTAATTCCTTCTCTTAATTTTACATTCAAGTATGCTAGCTCACTGTCTCCTTTTGTGCTGTCACAAAATCACAGACTGGCTGTGGTTGGAAGGGACCTCTAAGGTCATGTGGTTCAACTCCTCAAGCAGAACCACGTTGAGCCTGTTGCCCATGACCAATATCCAGACAGCTTCTGATGATCTGTAAGAAGTGAAATTCCACTTCCTCTCTGGGCAACCTCTGCCAGTGCTTGGATACCTGTGCAGTAAAGAAGTGTTTCTGAGGTTCAGATGGAGCCTCCTGTGTTTCAGTCTGTGCCCAGTGTCTCCTATCATGGCACAAATGAAGGGAACCCATCTTTGCACTCTCGCTTCAGGTATTTATATACATTGGTAAGATTACATTGGCTTCCCTTAAGCCTTCTTGTTTCCAGGTTGAGCAGTTCCAGCTATCAGCCCTTCCTCACAGGAGAAATGCTGTAGTTGCTTTATAACCTTTGTGGCTCTTTGTGAGCTCTCTCTGGTGTGCTTATGTCTCTCGTGTACTGGGAAGCTCAGAACCAAACACAGCACTCCTGGAGTCAGGACATTTTCTGTGCCTGAGAATTGTTTTGTGTACTTAGACCTTGAGACAGCAAAAGAATTCTCAGGTTTATTTGGGGAAAATCCCTTGTCTGTGTTTCTAAACATTGACTTGTTTTTTTCAGAGGTCAGTATCTGTTATGTTGTTTTGTAACTTCATGTGACAGTATTGTGCTACACCTCTGGCCTCCTGTGCGTGCTCAATCCTGTTTACTGGCTTTAACTTCCCACTGTTGCTGCTTATCTCCATAGCATTAGTCAGTGGAATCTGGAAAAAAACTTGGATGCTTCCTATCCTGCAGATAAAATCCCAGCTGCATGCATGTGAAGATCTCATGCAGTACTGAGAGAGAAGCTGTGGACTCTTGCTGAATACGTCCTGGTATAGAACTTGTTTTGTTTAGCTTCTGATCAGGTGGCAGCCAGCAGCCAGGCAGTCTGAAATTACAATGAGCATTTGTAATGAAGAAGGGGGATGGAGAGGTCATGGGTTCATTGGAAAGCAGGGAGCCTGGAAACAACAGCACTATGCATTCATCCTCTTATCTTAGCTTGTGGAACACGGTTAAGTTTTAAGCAGCCATAAAAAATCATGGTGCAGCTTATCTTTTTTCCTGCTGTTTTTTTGGTTTTTTTCTGAGCAGCCAGTTAAGAGGCAAACATAGATTACTGGCTTGTATATCAGAATGGACAACATGGGAGTCTGCAGTCATTGCCAAGAGGATTCCCCCAGCAGTACCTGTCATGCAGGCAAGCAAGTTCCTTTGCAGAACTGTGTGCTGTCTCACTAGTTGTAATCCAAATATAATTATCTGGAATGGTCCAAGGGGTGTACAGCCTAGCTGTTAAGGTGTTATATACTTACTACCACCTGTGGTATCTCCATGGCATTTGAAATCGACACAGTGATCAGATTTCACTGAATCCAAGTGTAAAATCTGTCTGCACCTTACTCTGTGTTGTGTTTTTTTAATACAAAATTGCCATTGCCTCCATTGATAATACATGCGAGTTTTTGACAATTTTGTTACAATTAAATGGAGGAAGGACAGTGCTTTAAGACCACCAGAAAGTGAATGAATTTGTTATTTCCAAGTGTCTGGGTGGCATATCAAAGATTCAAAATACTGAGTAACTAAACTTGATGGTATGGGCTATTCTGAAGGACACTGGGCCAGCATCAGGTAAGCATATTGCTGCAGATATTCTGTGAACATCTGATGTTTGCTCCTTCTGGGGCTGGATACAACAGGGGGCTAATATCCATAAAATCTCTGGTCCACATTCAAGTACCTTAAGTTCAAAAGATGCTTCTGAGCAGAGAAAGAAGTAGAGACAAACAAAACCACTATTACACTATTAAACATGATTTTTTATTCTTTCTGATTTAATAAACTGCTTCTACATATGCAGCAAGTTCTTGGCCAATTGACAGGAAAAAAGCATTTTCAAAAGCATTTCAAGAACCGTTTTCTTAACATGACATTAAATGTGTAAAACTTTTCAACTGTGTTTTAGTCTGTTGTGTTTTTTCTGTACCTGCACCCTCCCTTTAGCTGCTAGGAAAAAACATTTTGAGTCTGAGATACAAGAAATACAGAACTTCAGAGGGTCTGGAAAGCAAAAGCCTGGTCCCACTTTTAGCCAGGCATTCCAGCCAGGCGTTCCTTGTCATAGTAGAGGATGGAAAGATCAAATGACAGGCCTCCTCACTGTTAGAACCTCAGTACTCCTGATCTGAGCTACTGTCACTGCAGAGAAATGCCAGTTTCTCCTTGACCTGCTCATAGAGCTAATGCTGTGGCATTGAAGGTAATTCCATTACCTTCAATACTCATCAAGTGAACCAAGACTTGTAGGAAAAGTAATTAAATCTCCTTGTTTACAGAAAGCCTAGTATAACTTGGCAGAGTGAAGAACCAGTTATTTGCCAGTGGTATAGAGGCTGCAGGATTCTTCCTGGAGACATCAGGAGGGAGATCTGGTGGTATTCCTGAAATCTGCTCTGAAGATGTGAGTGACCAATAAGCATTCCTTGTGGAAGAGAAGGTGAAGTAAAGACAATCTCTATAGATTATATCCCAGAATTAGCAAATGAACTAGGAGCTATTCAGTCCAACTTGATTGTATAGGACAGGGCAATGGTTGCAGAAGATTGTTTCATTTTGACTGGAGGAGAAGTTCAAGTGTGAAAATAGCCCCTGTACTAACACACTACTGGACTCTTGAGAGTATCAATGGTTGAGTTAGATGTCAAAATAGGTCATTAAATTCAGGACAGGATAGTCTTATTACTGTTCCTCCAGAGCTATCTTTCTGGATTAGCTGATAGATGGGCTGGTTTTTCAATTCCTCCAGCATCTTGAAAGAATGCTAAAAAAGCAACTGGATAAAGACAGCACTGTATATCAAGGACTCATTAAAGAAATACAAACCAGCTTACTTAGGCAAGCCTTTACTGGTACTTGACATACTTTTCTCCTAGGCCTCTGAATGCTCTGCAGGCAAGAATAAGGGTCAGATTTGACTCTCCATCCTGAAAGCTGATGGTGAAAGCAGGACAAGAACAGTGCACCTTCAGCCACCTGAATGGCTGAGGGGATGCACTGTGTCACTCTGTAGTGAAAGGTTCTTTATGATCAGCTGTGCCACATGGCTGAATTTCAGCTAACTGGCTACCAAAGAATAAGCAGCCCCCCTCTCTTAAAGTAGTAGATTAGGTCTCTTGAAAAGTCCTTCAAGATT